GATATCCAAGGCCTCTGGAGCCAGTATCCCAACAGCTTCCTCAACGTCATCAGGAACTGCAACTGCCACAGCATCGACATCCGCGTCCGCATCGGCAACGTCAAAAGGTGCTGCTAACATCATCAGTGCTCCCAAGTCCAGTGGTTTCGGCGTCCTCGCCGGCCTGCTACCTTTGCTTGCCTGGATGCTATGATGTGGCTGGAACTGTTGAGGGCGAATGACTGATGATTAAGAAGCTTACTGGATAAGCACGGGACCTTGAAGCGTTGGCCCTTTTTGCTGGCGAGCATGGACAGGAGCATCCAGGTCCGGGTTATGATGCATTGCATGTGCGTGGTCTGGAGACCAGCAGCGTGTCACTCGAATACAACCGACGGAAACCGATCTGCGGTGCAGGCAATGCAGTTTTCTTGATTGCAAACAGTCCTTTTTTTGCATGGCTCTCGAGCATTTTCTGCCTCACTCCGCTCTCGTTCTGCCGCTCATCTTTTATGTTTATGTGTTTGGCATTGCCCCTATTGCCCGGTGCGGAATATGGATCTTCCGATTGCGATGGCTACGAGACCAAGTGAACTCAAGTCACTCTTTGACCTCGACCTCGACTCTGATCTCTCCGACCCACCATCAGATCTTGATAACATGGATCTCTCTATGAACGACGGCGTCGAGCAAATGGAGCTTGATGATCCCTCCCTCAAGCGAAAGTCCACAGCGACTTCGGACTCGGAGAACACTTCCATGATTGACTTGAGCAATGAGCAGGCATCTCACCCAAATCCCGCAAAGAGACAGCGTCTTTCCCATCAAAGCCACGTCCCTTCCCAAACACTCGTCCCCTCCCAAACACTCATCCCCTCCCAAGCCCTCGTCCCCTACCGAAGCCTCGTCCGAATCGAAGATTTTCCAAACGAAGTAAGCCGTCCAAGATCGTCAAGAAGAAGCATACTGACCGTCATAGATTCTTCAGCGTATTGCCTTTGAGCTAGAAGATCCCCAGGATCTCACCACATTCGCACTTCTCTGCAAGAAAACTGCGGATGCGGTCATGCCAGATACATCCGCTGTCTACAAGGCAAGATTTCTTTCGGAATACGATCATCCATGCTTCAGCAATGAGAAAGAAGAAAAATACTGTTTTGCATACAAGATGAGAACCCTCACACTCAAGAGATTCGTCGCCTTTGATGATCCCGATGACAAGAGATTGCCTGAACAACTGGAAGCTTTGAGACTCATGGTGGTCGGTAAGTGATTCGCCTAGTACAGATTTTATACATGGTTCGGCTGATTGTTCATCTACAGAGACATATTTTCAGCCTGCGAAGCACCTACCTCCACCTACGGTATCTTTCAACCTTGCACGGTTTGCTGACGTGAAATCGGAGTGGATGGCAACCTTCCTGTCCTGCCCTTTCTATCCGACAAAACCTCGTAGCAGATATGGCGACATCCATCACCTGTTCACTGCATTACAGCTCGTTCTATCTCACCTGCTTCTTTCACCTGCTTCGGATATGGCGTACAAAGTCCCAACGTCAAGACAGAATTACAATGTGGACATAGTCTACAACTGGGATTTCGAATTCGAAACACTCTACCGGAAGTTCCAAGGCCAGTTTGTGCTAGACACATATGAATTGCTACACATTCGAAACTTCTGGCATCGGCATCTCATTGATTACCCTCCAGGAGAAGCGAAGGAAGATTTCATCAAACGATCAAACAACACGTTTGAACACACCTATGCGAAGATGGCAAGGGAATTGTGGGCAGTGTGTATCACTGCAAAGCCATGGGACAAATTCTTGGAGGACGGCTTGCCAAAAGAAATCCCCCTCGTGTGGTATGGACATTACAGCTGCGCACGCCCATGGCCCAAGAAGAGCATTGACCTTGCAGAAATGCAGAGCGTCGCAGACGATTGGACTTCTGTTGATCCGTTGGTAAGCATGAAGATGCCTGTCTTGGATGAAGTCCCATTATTTACTGACGTCTTTTGTTCTTTAGAAATTGGATCTTACAACCAGCATCATCGCCGCCACCAAAGGTGCCACTGACGCCGCCGTCAACTACGTGAGAGATGGATTCTGGCCAGAATCTTTCAGCAATATCCCTGTATTTGCTGAAACCATCCCTCAATTCGGCCCTCGCGCATTCATCAAAGGCCTCGGACAATTTGTAGACAACAAGACGGATTCTATGGCTGAGTTGGTTGCGACTCGACCTCCTCAAGTTAATCGACCACAAGCGATCCTGTATACTTCAAACCTACCAAAGTACCACTCCTACCTCAGCCTGCGCATTCGTGGCGTCATCCATCCGATCGCTGCCCAACCAGAGCCTGAACCAGATGCTCAGGGCCAGGCCGATGACAAGAGTATTCCGGGCTGGAACAGAATTGTGATGGTCATGTACAAGCCAACCACAGAGTATCTGATTCGAGTACTCGAATATGCCGACGGCGACTATGGCGGCGCGTTTGGACCAGCGCTGGCGAACCTGAACAGAGACCATATGACGGATGAGGAGATCGAAGCAGAGCTCATGAATCATCTCGACCAGAAGTTGGCGGCCCATCCTGCGCGTCGAGACGGAATCGACAGAGCCAAGATCGAGCAAATGGAGGAAAAGTACCAGAAGAGCAAAGACATGAGCTGGGATGATATTGAGTATGCTTATGCATATGAGGGTGTGATGTTGCCTGGTGGTAAGATCATGATGGGTCGATGGTGGAGGTGTGCAAATTGGGGAGAAGGTGAAGGCTGTGAGGTGGTTGAAGAAGACAATGGTCATCGCAAGCTGGAGAGGGGTCCGTTCGTGTTCTGGGCGGCGTGAAAAGCAACGAGGATGACACTGGGTGTTGTTGGCGGGACACTCTTGAAAAGCAATGGTGCTGCATTGGGTCGATGGCGTTGGAGTACGACAGACTAGATACGTGAGTGAATGTGCTCATTCGGCACAAAGGGCTCCTCGGCCCTAACAATGGGCAGACCCTCACGTTGGCACGGGAGTGCGACAGCGTTGCAAAATGTCATGATTACTATCTTATCTACCTGACGAACCTCCTGGCTAAACCTGCACTTTCCTCCGTGTGCTCGAAGTCGCTCATCGAGAACCTATTCTCCAGACTGCTGGGACTTTGGTCCGGATACCACCTTCCACCAGGATGTAGTTCATCCGTCTGCCGCTGCGGTTGGCGTGCCGTCTGTGTTTGTGAAGGGAATTGATCATCCTCGAATCCGTAGGTGGTATATGGCGGCATTTGGGCATTGAAAGTGGGTCGTTCCGAGAAATCAGCCTGGTCGGGACGGTACACGCTATCCATGTTCGGAAAGTCAAAGTGTCCTTCGTCGTTCTTTTGTTGCTGCTGCATGAGCTCTCGAGCTTCATGTGCGGTCATATCTCCTGGCATGACTGTCACGCCGAATTTTGTGGCTGTGGCTGTCTCCTCGATTTGATTTGTTGATGCAGCAGACGTATATTGTAGATCGTTGTTAGCGACCTCGACTTCGCGATCGCGTAGTTTCCGCATGAGATCGAGGAATTGGCTGTTTTGGAATTTGTCGCTTGTGTCGTGTTGGACTGAGTGCAAGAGTTGGCCTGCTGTGCGGGCGAGTTCGTCGGCGTCTTGGATGTCTTGGTCTAGGGTGCGCTCTGATTGTTCAATGTAGTTGATTGCGTCGGAGCCGATTTTGGGGAGTTGCTGATCTTGCTGTATCTGGTCGAGGGTAGATGAGGATTCGAGTGGTGGGGCGGAGGTATCGCGAAGTTGATGTTGGTCCATTTCTTGGGCGTGGGTCATGGCTTCTTGGAAGGCGGCGTCGAAGTCGACGTCGGAGAGTTGGACATTTTGTTCCATTGACATTTGTTGTGGTTGGGTTTGTGATTGTTGGAATCCTGCGTCCTGATACATGCCCATGCCCATGCCGCCACCGTAGGATTGGTATCCTTGAAAGGGTTGTTGTGTATAGTCTGTCTGGGCGAACATGTTCATTTGTGACGGCTCTCGAACAGCTTGTTTGCCCTGTTGTATCGGTGTGCTCGCGCTGGAGCGCTGGCGCATGAATTCATTTTGCCAGCCTCCTATCGTGGACTTTATCAGTGGCGCTTCGGTTCGGAATTGGCCTGCGGGTAAGGGCTGGTCGTGGAGTTTGAGGCGTTGGAAGTCGGCGGCCCATCCTGCAGCGGCGGGGCTTTGAGGAGCGAAAGCAGGTCCCGCGTTGGCGAAGTTGGGCTGTTCGAACTGGAAGGGACTGGGTGAGGCGTTCTCGAAGGCGTAGAAGTCAGCGTCGAGAGAACCTGCTCGTGGGTCGGTGGTGCGGAAACCCTGGAAGACGCTTGTCAGAGGCTATTCAGATGATAGTAGCTGATTGAACTTACTTGTCCTGGTGACTGTCTTGAGGAGACTAGACGGTCCTGCTGGAGAGTCCGGTCGATCTGGGTGTGCTTTTGGAGGTTCTGGAGCGGGTTGGATGGACCACAGAGTGCGTCCGCCATACTGAGAGGTGTCGCCAGACAAAGTAGGGGATGAGAATTTCAAGGAGAGAGGTGAACGAAAGCAGAGATATGGAAACTAGGAATCGGCGAGTTGCGAATCACGGCCGGACACGAAAGGATGAACTTGTTGTCTCGCAGGATGACAATATCCGTGGGGTGAACTTGAAGTGGACGATGATGTGATTGTGCCGAGGTCTCACGACAAGTTGCTGATTGTTGCGGCGAAAAATATTTAGCCGAAATCTTCCCAAGCAGCACATCCACGATGAAGGTAGAACAAGGCTGTGTCGTCTTACAGACAGTATAAAGAGCACTACTGGTCACCGTTTGGTATGTTGATTATTTGTGATTCTTCTACCTTCATGCGGTTCAGCGATACGAGACCATCAAAATGCTGCTTTCCACCCTATCACTCCCACCGATATTCTACACATGATATACATTCACAGACTCTCCACAAAAAAAAAACCGATATTGACCCTGGGAAGGGACAAAAAGGAACATGACTAGGCCCAGATTTGAACTGAGGACCTTCTCTGTTATAATTTCTTGTTAAAGAGATGTGCTTTGACAATATTAGTGACTGCGAGATGAATTTGAACAGGAGCAGAACTCACATAACCAAGCTACACCACCCAGCCAATTGATGTGCACGTTTGTGTGCTATTTTTGGCTCAAATTGTGCGGGCTCTGCGATATAACGCCAAATTTTCATCCTGTGGGTTGATGAAGGCGGCGATGCGACGGGGTGGGACCCCACCAATCGATGTTGGAGTTTGTGTGCGGTGGGTACAGCATCACGGACAGGTCGTGGGCAGCCAGGTGCAATGCCCTTAGCTGAGACGATACCTGTCTTGTCCTGATCGTTGTTGAATCCGGAGTGATGGATGTAAGTTGGTCTCTGTTTCCCCGGAGGTCGGGCGACCTTGTATAGCACACTTGAAGAGAAAATAGCCTTGAAGACTGCATTCTCTCACCGATCAAGTCGCGAATCGTCCAGCTCGAAGTTCTTCCTCGGTCCTCCTTCTCATAGAGTCTGATACTCTAGACCAATCGATGTCACCGAGTCTTCCCAGGGCCCTACAGCCGTCACAGTCGACATAGTCGCTCAAACTGCAATTGACATGGCAAGCTGGGCAGATATCGTGGACTTGCTTATGCCAGCTCGCGTCGTGGAACTCCCAGCCTGTCTTCTGAACCCAGAAGGTACTAATCTCACAACCGACAATGCCATTCCAGTACTCCTCAGCACGAGGCCGATTGGTCAGACAGTGATTACACAGACGCAGATCCGCCGGCATCCACGGTTTGAGTTGAGCCATCAGATCCGGCACGTCGAAAACACTGCGTGGCAGGAATCCAGCGTATCTGGGGGAGGTAAGTGAGAGACACAGTTGGACGTTCCGAGCGGCAGCAGCCATGCGTTTGCAAGTTAGCGCCAGGGATATTTGCGATGGTGCATGGGCCAGACTGTCGTATACGGTGAGAAGTATCTCGTGTGGCATTCTGAACAAGATGGAATCGCCTTGGGCTCCTCCTGAGGCTGTGTCCAAAATCTATTCCTCTGTCAGTGTGTTAAGGGGATATGATCAAGATAACATCGTACATTATCTGGGATTGTGAAGCGGCACGATAGCTTTCTTTCAAAGTCCTGGCTACTAGCTTGACATCTAAGCGCCTTGCGCACTATCTCATGGCCAGGTACTGGTTCTTTGGGCAGGCCAACGCCAGCGGGGAATCCGGTCCAAAGGGCCATGTCACTCGGCAAGTTCTGTTGTTGCAACCCAGGGCAGATGGTGTTGGCACCACCACGCACAGACACGAAGCGCTTTTATGCTCAGGAGGTCCTGATCACGTAAGATCGTACTCCGACGAGTGGCTGAAGTTGTTGGCAAGCACAATGGTCGGCGGTAAGCATCGATAACGAGTACTACTTACGGCGAAGAGTAGGATACAGGGAGTCGAGTGTGTCTTATGTCACTAGTGTCCACAATCAGGAGATGCCGAGGAGATAAGGTCCGCATTGGGTCATTGATACGATCACAGATCTGCCGCTAGTCCGAAACCGGGTCTGATAGATGACTTAGCAGGTCGCCGGCACCACCCGCAGCAGCTACTAATCATTGATTTCTATCATGGAGGACAGCTCCCTTGTTCAACTGCAAGGATGCTCAAATGGTAACAACGACCTTGCCTTCAGTTTGCCCGCTCCATATATCCTTCAACCCCTCATTCGCCTTCTCGAGAGCTAGTACCTTGCCGATATGCGGCTTGATGCCCTTGGCAGCGACAAAATTCAACAGGTCAACAAATTCCTCTCTTGTACCAGTATACACTCCGGTCAAACTGATTTGGTTGGCAAAGAGATGCAAGAGGTCAATCTTCACTTCAGTTGAGCCGCTCTCGGAGTGAATGCCACAGGAGACGACAGTCCCGCCAGGCTTTGCACAGGCCAGGGAGTGTGAGATCGTGGCAGCTCCAGATGTGTCAAACACTGCATCGACAAGGTAGGGCAGTTTGGTAAGAGGTGCGAAAGTGCGTTCAGCTCCAAGACGTCTCGCTAACATTCGTTTACTCTCCGTCCTGCCTGTCGTCCATACCCGGAAGCCAGCAGCCGAGCCTAGTTGAATAAGGGCTGTGGTAACACCTGGGCTGAGTCAGAGACAGTTTCAGTAATCGTTGGATATACGTACCGCCAGAGGAGCCCTGCACAAGGACTGTTTGGCCAGGCCGCAAGTTCGCCTTTCTGAACATCATGCGGTACGCTGTGAGCCACGCGATCCCCATGACAGCTGCATCTTTCGCGTCCAGACTCTGCGGCCGTGGAATCGCGTTACGCTTTGGTACCACAACATATTCTGCCATTGTACCCTGTACCAGCTCTCCCAGCACATGTCTCTTTGGATCAATGGTCTCGTCGCCTTTGAAGTCTGGATCTCCGAGATTCGGATAGATTGCGACTTCGGTGCCGTCTTCAAGCACACCCGCACCTTCGTTGCCCAGGATCATAGGGTACCGAATTTCATGGATACCCATACCACGAAGAGTGAAGATGTCATGGAAATTCAGTCCCACCGCTTGCATCTTTACGCGGACCCATCCATGCTGCGGCTCGGGAACGTTGCGTTTGTGGATGCGGACCGCCGACAGCGGATCTGTTGGCTTGCCCGAGGCAGCATAGACTGTGCGCATGGTGGATTTCCTGGGGTCCGTGTCGCCCATCTCGAGATACTCGATCTTGTCATGGGTGACTGTGGCGAGGAGGAACAAGTCGAACGGTTCGTGTATGCCGAATTCCGCTGCAAAGTCTCCGTCCATCATGACATGTCGGAAGATCCTGCCATCATCTCGAGACGTCTTGTCTAGCAGCTTCATCCGACCATGGTGTCCAATGATGCCGCGTTCACAAAAGATTCTCAGTGCATCTCCCTTGAAGTTTTTCCGGTCATTGAATACGTCAGCCCCTGGAGCAAAGGAATTCAGCATGGCTTGCAAGTCAGCAGCATTGACTCCTTGGATGAAGCGGTCGACTGGCGTCTCTGAAGAAGCCATCCTGCAGCCGTGTGTTGATGCTCTGATCTGGTGTCTTCGTGCTCATGGAGGCCACCATATTTATACTTGATCTGGGTACGAATGTTCACGGTAGTGGCATACCATGGTATACCGTGATTGGAGATTGTGCACAAAGAGCCCCATAATGCTTACATCCAAGCGAAGCCAGAAACAGCAACGACGTTCATGCTCCTTGTCAGCGGGTATCTTCCGAGCAATGGCTGATCTCACGTGACCATAAGCCATTTCGTCCGGGCCTGACGGGGCTCCGGACCATTTCAAATAGGGGCTGAAAATATTGTTCATCTTACAGTTCGCTGGAACCATCGTGACAGTCGAACTTATGTCGACCCAAAGCTCCTTTCAGTTCAATCAAAGGATACGATTTCAACCAGGATCGCTCCAGCCCTGTGCCTTCGGATCGCAACGCTACAACAAAGTAGGGGTTAGCAAGGACACAATCCCTCCAGTAAGGCTGAGGTAGAATGCCTTTTGCGAGTTTCAAATCGCATGATCAAGATGTTCCGAAGTCGTTGTTCCCTGGTGTGCAAGACTACATCCATATCTCGCCCTGCCTCCCAGTCGAGGTCCATATGACGATGAAATGTCTGCTACTGATTTGTCTTTTTCTCATTCTGTCTGCCTTGGTAGGGGGTTGACATGGCACGTGTTGCACACAGAAGTGCAATGCGTTCCGCAACACTGGCGGCCCTCCAGTTACAACGCATGATCATGCCAACCACCAATGATTTTGACCTGCATTCATAACCAATAGGTTGCAGGGCGCATTAACGCAAGCGATGCAACGACTTTCGCAATGTCTGGGGCTGTGCCTCTTCTTGCCGTTACGGCCAGAGGTCGCTTACTCTGCTGCAAGCCACCATGTACTGTACACCCAACGAACGAATGGCACCAATCACCGTTAAAATCAGGCAACTTTTGTTTATCCATAGTTTGTCCTTGCAAGAACATCACTTGTCTTCACACATCATCTCCTCTCTTTCACGTCTATATATTCACCTCCTTTTCCCCTCTCGTCCGAGTCTATGTAGCTCGTCCTTGGACAATCACCATCATCATGCCTCGCAGTCGAAATCACCCGCACAGCCGCCAAGAATGGGAGGCCATCCGACCTATCTTCACAAGGCTGTACAAGGTAGAAGACAAAAAGCTGTCAGATGTCATGGAAATACTAGCAACAGAGCACGGATTCCGTGCCAGGTAACGACTTCAACGACTTCGACTCCTGATTCTCTACTGACCCTGACCCAGGGAACTCCACTACAAGAGACGTATCTTCACCTGGGGCTTGGACAAGAAGAAGAAGGTCAGAACACATCATCCGTACCTGTCTCAGCTCCAAGTAGGCTCATTTGACGTAGCTATCCGAGATGGCTTTTGCAGCCCGTGTCATCCAAGACCGCAGGTCGCTCGGCAAAGACACAAGGATTCAAATCAGAGGTGACACGGTCTCGCAGGAAGATGTGCGGAGGTACTGGAGACGGAAGTCGTGGAAGGCTGAGAATAGTGCGCCTGTTGCCTGCACTCCGCCAGGCCTGCGTTATTGTACGCCGACACCAGCTCTTACGGCTAGTAGTCCTGCAGCGCCGCAGTCCCAGGCCACGACAACTTCGGAAGGTGGTGACAATTACATGTCAGCAACTGTCAACATCGGGGGTCACCAAGCAGAGACCTTCCAGTATCTACAAGACTATGAGTTCAGAACTAGTCTGGGCCCTGTCATGACACCGGATCGTCTCAGAAATCAAGAACTCGTCCTACATCAGGCGAAAATGTACATGCAGGGCAGTCTTGAAGTATGTCATGGTCCCGAAAACTCCAAATTCAACCAGGAGTTCTTTCGAGTCGATGCGTTGGTCTGCGAGTGGCTTGCCAATCTCGCGTATGAGCATGCACCCTACACGGCAGCAATGACTGAACTGAAGATCTACGACATGGTCCCTCAACTTTCATTCGAAATGAACCCTTCTCTTCTGATGTCCTTGATGGTTGCTGCCAATTTCATCTGGGCCGAACAACAAGGTCATGGTCTTGTTTCGCAAGGGGTTCAGAAACTGCTGTCGAAGCT